ACGGGCCAGGTACCCCCTGCTCCAGCCAGCTTGGAGGATGCCAGGGTGGTGCCAATAACTCACCTGCCATGTAAAAGGCTCCGGGATACACGGTGCTGGGAGGTTTCGAGGGAGTATATCCAGCTGGATCCCTGCTGTAGTCATCACCTGAGTTGGATGGATACACCTGTGGGGCAGGAAAGGGGGTGAAGACCTTGGGCACCCCACGGCCTCCCATCCTCCCCCATGGGTCACCCCACCCCGCGTGGCTTCGCTTTTATTCATCGTGGCAGATGACAGAGTCGGTCCCACAGCAAAAGGGGGGTGTGGGGGGAACCAGAGCAGCTGAGCTGAAGTCGGGGCGGCGGAACCGAACGGCACAGCTCCGCCGGGGAGCGGCGCAGGGGAAGGGGGCACAGCGCGGCCCCCCGCAGCCCCCTCCCGCAGGAGACGCCGGCGCCAGCAGAGAGTCTCAACTCGCTGCTCTAGTTCCTTTTTCTGCGGTTGTAACTCTTCCTGGGTAACCACAAGAGCCATCGTTTCTGGGTGCCAACCCCGCGCCCTCGGGCACGGGGCTGAGCGGCGGCGACGGGGACCGGCGAGGCTTTGGGAGGTGCCAACGCCGCCGAACGCCGGCTGCGGCACCGGGACTGCAGCAGCCGCCCCTGAGCACGGCCCCTGCTCAAACCCTCCGTGGAAACCAGCCTGTCCTGCTCGAGGGGAAACTGAGGCACGGGGGAAGCCGAGGGCTGGGCAGATCCTCAAAAGGGGTGTCACAGGGAAGGGGACAGCTCTCGGCCAGATTGCTGCAGCACTGTACAGCTACAATATTTAACGGCACGTTAAGCAAAAGAAAAGGCTTTTTCTTTGCTTTGCTTTTCTTCTGAATTAACCAAACCCACCCCAGAAAGCCCTTACAGAAAATCACCCTGTGCCAGCACAAAAACATACTTTTTTTTTTTCTTTAAAGCAGAAATTAATCACGCAAAGAAACCGAAATGCCACTCAAAATTACGTGAGAACCTTTGTCGCAGCCTATTTTCACCCCCATTGATTCATTCTGAAACTGCTAATTTTTTTTTAATTTTTTTTTTTTAAAAATACACACGAAAGCAGAGGTGGGGGCAGGGGCTGGCCCGGCCCGCTCGCGCCAGCCCCCCCGGGAAG